GACGTAAACCAATTATCAACAGTGAGGTTTCGGTTAGTTCCATGTATTGGTTGTGAAAGTTTTCGAACATAATAAGCCGGTACTGATTCATTGTTTTCTGTGGTTATTCTTCCAACGTATGGAATTGCATTGAGCATATAATATGTTTTTGAATCAATAAGCATCATTATTTTCATTCCATCCTTAACAGGCTTACTAGCCATTTAGATTCGAAATAGACATTTTCCTCTATATCCTACAATCTGTTCATCTACAGTACAGTATTCTTATGGTGTATAGTACGATTTACAGTTATTCACAAAAATGTCGAATAATTCTCGTATAGGTGCAAATTTATCCACTAATTTTCTTTCTGCTCTACTGTCCTTACTATCACACCTCAGACATAAGGCTATAATTGGAATCGCTGCTGTGACATCGTCGCCCGAAATATTCCATTTTCAAATTTGACTGACCAAAGTTCATCTAAGTTACAGTTAGATACTCGTAATGCACATGATAAAAATAACAGCCTAATGAAAGCTTTCACTTCTGTTCTCGTTACTGGTCTTGTGTAACTCTGCGGTCTAATATTATTGCATTTACGAATGACTTCTTTATTTGAGTGCAAAACAATAACATCTATCATTTGTTCGTTGAACAACAAATTCCAAGATTGTTCAGGAGATTGAACTGTGCTCGTTTCTCCTTTGGGGCCAGGTAAATGTATTACAATGTTTTCTCGTCTTGTACAAACCTGACTTTCTGGTGCTTGTGTGTTCCACCGATGACCATTTTACCCAGTAAATGACAGTAAACTAGGGATATTTCTAACTGGTTCATCCACTATTTCGTCTTCATTGTCACTTTGGTCACCGTTGCTGTCTGACAGTTGCTCTTCATCGTAATCTTCATCAGACTTGTCTCCTCCAAACATATCGTCTACGATGTCGTTTTCACTCTCATTCTCCCACAAATTGTCTGCCTCTCTCTGTAATTCTACGTCAGTTAAAGGACGACTATTTTCTCTACTAGTGGACGCCATTATACTAAATAAAAAAAATAAGTTGAAACAAAATTAATACCGTAAACATCACCCTTGGGTCCGGGGTACCCATGCTTGTACTTCTGGAAATATCTTACCTCGTTGTTTCACTAAAATGCATCGGATGACCCGTATTCTAACTCGGCTTACGACACACTGAATTTACATAAAGTGACGACACACATAAACCACTCATGCGCAAGTCACATTGCAATGAATGACTCTCTGGGTTTCTGAGACCCAACAGTGCAGTTCCAGGATTAAACATAATGTATACTTAATCGTTTTGATATATACCGCACAACCAACTCCTAAAATGGATTTTGACCCATCTGTGAAAATCCTATTAGCTTATCAAATTTGGCAAGTTGTTTCTGAAGTTGAATGGCGTTGTTATCATCAAAAGTAGGGAAATAAACGTTGGTTTGGAATTAAAGAATATTGAAATTAGATTGAACAAACTTAGTTTCTACTGGTATTTTTAAATAGAAAGAAACATTAGGAAATGCTATAGCTAAAGTTATAGAATTTTTGTTATTCCACCATTTGTCAACTAAGTTCGACACAGATATGTCGGATATTTTTTGCAATAGGTAAGTTTGGTTATTACCTTAATATTTAAGGATAATTCAACATTGTCTTTATTTTCTTGATACAGTGTACAGTACCAACGAAATAATAGATATAAATTAAAATCTTATTTTATTTAACTAGTAAAATATTACATACTTGTATATATAATAATTGTCAAATACATAAATATTTTATGACTATCATGCGTTTTTGTTTCTTCATTTTACCTTTTGAATAAGTTTTCTGGCTCTTGTCAGCAACATATTTATGCTTATTTCTTATATACGACTAATACTGTAACCAGCGTAAATATTATAATGCAAATTATGGCAGCAAATACAATTATGACTCTACCACCGGTTCGAAATCTTGGCATATTTCTGTAGTACAACAGCTATCAAGTAAATTGCCAATATTTAAATTTTATACTTTTTATTTTGGATTTTCGATGACTTTCTAATGACATTCTGACACATTTTCTTCTTCTTCTTGGTTTTTTTGTACGGTTTCGATTGTATAATCATTTACCCAGTACATGTAGGGTTATGCTCGACTTGCTCTAGGCCAGTGGTGCTCAGACTTATACTGCATGGGATCTACCACATAAACTGCAAGCGTCCGGAGATCGACTGCTATACCCTGTTTTTAAACCAGGAGGAGTAATTCAAATTTACCGCGCCGCAATGTTTGTAATTGGTCCAATCTCAGACAAGTTTACTCCACTGTTATGAAATTTTGACACTTATGGCATTTCCTAGGTTAATTAAGTTATATCGGTGATATTTTGTGTTTTCTGCGTTATTCTTTTAATTTTTAAATTTTTAGTCTGCTTTTACATAAAACACAGTTTTTAGAACTGTTTTAGCCACTTAGTAGTATAATATAATATTTTTGGATTACCGTCGAAGGCCGATGTGATTAACCAAAAAAGAAGATGTATTTGGTAACTTTTCTAGTGACTTGGTTAGATGTGAATCTGTCTCTTTAGTTTACTCCTCCTGGTTTAAAAACAAAGTATAATAAAAAACAATTTTCAAAATAAAAAACTTTATTGCACATTTCTAGTTGATAAAAAGTTGTATTATTACATATCATATTTCATGTTATTTCATAATGGTTCGTAATTACCGAGGTCCAAACGCAAACAGGAAGAGAGATGTTCGTCAGTTATCCGATTACGATAATTTAATTTTACTATATTAATTTATATGCAGATGACCTCCATTTATGTGTGGAGGTATGGAAAAAATATTGTCAAAGTTTATATGCAGATGATCCCCAGAATGCAAATCACGATGAATTCACTACAGAGAGAGAGAACCAAACATTCTAAAGTCAGAGGTAGAAAAAGCAATCAATAAGTTGAAAAATAGAAAATCTCCTGGCGCAAACGAGATCACCGTAGAAGTTTTAAAAGAGACTAGAGATGTTGGAGTATATATTATGCATATGATCTGCAAAAAGATTTGGGAAACCGGAGAGTGGCCCAACGACTGAACAACATCCACTTTCATCCCTATATTCAAAAAAGGAACTCCGCTAGATTGCAGCAACTACAGAACGGTAACCCTAATATCCCATGCAAGCAAGGTTTTACTTCATGTAATACATGAAAGATTAAAAACTTTTCTATTGCCTTAGATATCAGAAGAACAAGCGGGATTTGTCCCAGGAAAAGGCACAAGAGAACACATCCTTAATGTCAGACGGCTAATAGAAAAAACTCGTGAATTCAATACTCCTATGCTTGTGTCCTTTGTGGATTACACAAAGGCCTTCGATAAAGTCAAATGGCAGTAGCTATGGTCCATACTAGCAGAAATGGGAACATCGCACCACTCAATTTAGCTAACTAGAAGTCTATATGAAAATAATAAGTGCACAGTAAAAATAAACAACACCTATTCCGATCATTTCAGAACAGAGGCAGGTGTCAGGCAGGGATGCATAATCTCGCCAACTCTGTTTAATATCTACATCGAAAACGTTATGCGAAATTTACTAGACAAATGGAAGGGCGGAATATCAGTAGGAGGTCAAAAAATCAATAACTTGAGATATGCTGATGACACTTTAATAATCCCGGCAAATCAGGAAGAAATGGAAGATATAATGAGATGTTTAGAGGATAAAAGCAAAACATATGGACTAAAGCTAAATAGGAGTAAGACAAAGATCATGCTAGTAGACAGAGCTCAGAATAATATTCAACACATTAAAGAAATTTGGGGCTTTAAAGTAGTAAATACTTCCATATACCTGGGGTCCCTAATAACAAATGATGGAAGATGTGACAGAGAAATACGTAGAAGGTTGACTAATGAAACTAATAGCAATTTGGAAAAATTCTAGCATAACAATACACACAAAGCTAAGGCTGGTAAGGGCCATTTTTCCCATAGCCACATATGCATTCGAAACGTGGACCTTAAAGAAAGCGGATAAAAATAAACGGGACACTTTTGAAATGTGGGTATACCGCTGCATGTTGAGAATATCCTGGATTGATCATCGCACTAACGTATCGATATTAGAATAACTTAAAGTAAAGGATAGATTGATTAAACAAGTACAACAGAGATATTTGCAGTATTTTGAAAACATTGCTAGAAGAACAGGCACGATGGAAAAACTGATAGACGAGGGTAGAGTTAAAGGAAAGAGTTAAAGGGAAGATCTCCAAGCCATTGGCTAGATTAAACAAAAATATTAATTAACCAAGGGTTACATGAAACCAAACAACTAGACCAGGACAGGGAAGGATGGAGGAAAATCTTGAAAAAAACTGTGAAGGCCTGATTATGTCAGCACATCCCAAAAGGGATTAGGACTGAGGAGAATATTCATTTGGGAAAATGCAGACTCACACAAGTATGTTGATCCAAAGAATGCCGTGAGCTGTAGAGCTGCTTGTCTCAACGATGCGACGGATATTGCTCAGACGATATAAAAGACCAAAATTTCGTATCAGTCGCTCTGGATTTAAGGTGTGTATCCGAAATTATTTTCAGTAACTCATTTTGGACATGAAATGATCTCCATATTGAACGTACCGAATATTTCAGTGGCTATTTTTTAAAGTCTTTTTAAAGTCTATTCGGTTTTCCATGCAAACATGAATATCACCATTAAAATTCAGTAGGATTTATTCGTTTTTGCTCTTATACATTTTTATATCGGTGTAATTTAACGAAATGAACCGATATTGGCCACTAACAAAATTTTCGTAAAAAGTGGATTTATTCGGTATTGCTTGAAACGCCCTCAATTTATCTGTGAATGATGATATTCCGAATCGGCATTATCGCAACTTTCGGGTGAAGAGATAATTATTTCGATCATGCACGTGTAGTGAGTCAGGACTCAGTTTTCTGTTTTCTATATATATGTATAAATTATTGTTAATTAATATAATTTTATTTAAATACTAATTTTACAGTCTAAATAAATTTAAAAGCTAGTATTAAAGTCGTTAATAACTAAACCTCTCCGAGAATAAGGGCTTCGTATGGATCAAGTACCAACGTTCTGCTGCTAACAATATCACTAAAATATAAATAAAAATATTTTACTAATCAAATAATATAAAATTGGTAACTATGATAAAAAATCAAGAATCTTACTTCTTAAAAATATATAAACGAATAATTAAAAATTCGAGTCGAGAGAGTCGAGTAATTTTGAGTAAGAAATTAGATACAACACAACTACTTTTAAGTGTAAATAATCGGGGTCAGAGAAACAAGAAATCAGCCACGAATTAAAAACCGTAAGATAAACATATCAGTCATAACTGAAACAAAATTAATTTCCTTTTTAAACATTGTAGATGTCTGGACTTCTACAATAGAAAAAGCGGCAACAAATCAATAAAGAGTTCGAAGAAATGGAAAACTTTAATAAAGAACACGAATACAGAAAATTTTACAAACAGGTTAATACAAAAAGAAAAGTTTTCAAGTCACAAGCGAACCAAGTCAAGGCTCTTAACGGAATTCTTTTAAACGAGAGAGTGGAAGTACTAGAAATATGGCAGGAACATTTTAGTACGCTACTTAATGGAGAAAGTAGAGCTGAAGGTAGATAATATGATATAGAAATAGAACAGGAGGATACTGAACTACCAACTTTGGAAGAAATAAACAATGCAATTCAGTCTCTAGCCAGAAACAAGTCACCCGGAGCAGACAACCTACCCGCAGAAATATTTAAATGTGGCGGTCAAACATTTGTAACCCTTCTTCACAAACTACTAATACAGGTATGGCAAGAACGCGCGTTACCAGAAGATTGGAATACTGGAATTATATGTCCCATACACAAAAAAGGAAACGTTCTTGAATGTTCCAACTTTAGAGCGATTTCCCTTCTTAATACAGCATACAAAATTGTGTCCCTCATACTTAACGAACGCCTGGCACGGTATACTGACAATATAATAAGGTCCTACCACAGAGGCTTCTTAAAAAACAAATCTACCATTGATCACATATCATCCATCAGACAAATATTAGAAAAAACGACGGAGTACTATATAGACTGCCATTACATCTTCGTAGATTTTAAGGCAGTGTACGATACTATTGACATGTCCAAATTATATTCGGCAATGATCGAATTAGGAATACCAAAAGGTTTGGTAGAATTAATTAAAATGACAATGATGAAAGTCTAATGTAAAGTGCGCGTACAGGGGGATGTTTCAAAACCATTTTGGTTTTTGGAATAAACTTAAAAAGTACGATATATACCCGTAGTATACAAATAATGGCATACGCTGATAATATCGTCATAATTGGAAGAACCCAAAATGAAGCAGTGGAGGCTTTCACACGTATCAAAAATGCCGCAGAAAACATCGGACTTCTGATTAACATCCAGAAAACTAAATATATGCCGGCCATATCAAGAATTCAACAAAATAATTTAGAGGTGCAACACGAAATGATAGAGATGGCTAGAAGAATTCTGCTTAGGATCACTGGTAGGCTACAAAAATAACACATCCAACGAGATAAAAAAAAGGATATGCGTGGCTAACCGCTGTTATTTTGGCCTGGGCCCTCAACTAAGAGCGAGAAGTATGTCAATAGCAACAAAGTGCAAACTTTATAAAACAATAATACGCCCAGTGCTCACATACGGATCGGAAACATGGGCAATGACGACACGAGATGAAGAGTTACTTCGAGTTTTTGAAAGAAAAGTATTGAGGACCATATATGGCGAAGTAAACGAACAGGGTCTGTGGAGAAGGCGATATAACTTTGAACTCTATAGACTTTTTGGTGATGCAGATTTCAACTTCGAAAGCGCATGCTTAAATGCTACATTTGGTCGGTCCTCTTATACGGTGTCAAAGCATGGACATTAAAAATATCCACCATTAATCGTTTGGAGGCTGCACAGACGTATACGTATACTAAAAATTCCATGAACGGTTATGCTGACAAATGTGGCAGTCCTTGTGGGAGCAAATGCTGCTCGCGAGCTGCTTAATAACATCAAATGTAGAAAGATGGCCTATTTTGGACACGTGGTAAGGGGAGACCGATATAATAATCTTCAACTTGCCGAAGCTTAAACCGCCGAAGGTGGGTGGGCCACGTTATGCGGATGGATGAGAGTGATCCCACTAAAATAACTATGCTAAAGAGGCCGGTCGGAAGAAGAAGAAGGGGGCGACCTAAACTCAGATATCTGGACGATGTACAGGAAGATATGAGGGAGATTGAAGTGAGTGGCTGGAGAAGACAGACACTCGATAGGGAAGGATGGAAGAATGTTGTGAAGCAGGCCAAGGCTGTAGCGCCAACTGATAATGAGATGTCTGGACTTTTAGAACTATGTTGCACAAGCTTATTGGATTTGCACAAATTTCTGAACATTTAAAACTTCGGTGAATCCGCACTGGCTGTCCCAAGATGCATGTATCTCTCACGCCCTCCGTGCCATGTGTTAGGGTCCAATCAATTTATTATCTTTGCGCCTTACATACTCTCGTAAGTTTTTTCTGGCTTTTACCAGAAAATTCAACCACGCTAAAAAGATTATTAGAATCCAAATGGGTTTTATCGTTAAATACTATAGTTCTATATTTACGGTAAATAATCTAGTAGCCATTTTTTATCGTGCTTTTCGATTGAAATGCGACGGTTTCTGGTTTTTTCAACGAAAACTGATATTAGAAATTGCTTTTCTTAGCGTCTTTACCGATCAAGTGTTTTCTGTCTGCTGTTTTCTCCACGAAAATGTAGAAATTAATAATATTGCACGGGAGTAAACTTTCATGAAATGCATCCATTTTAATTTTTAATGCCGTGGAGGAGAAATACTTTTTCTTCAGCATCAACTAAATGAACTTTGCTAAGAACATCAGTCTATTTTATGTTTCATTAATAAAACATTCTATAATATAATAAATTAGGTCTTAAGTTTGATAATTATTTAGAACTTGTATTTTTCGCGCATTTTCCATATTTATACAACAACGTTACAATACTGCACATAAGTAGCCGATAAGCTTTTCTGAATTTAGCCACTGCGCACCCCCAATACAAGAAATTGAAGAAGTTGAAATTAGACGTGGAGTTATTGTCGCGTATTGTCGTCAATTCGTTTTAATGCCTACTCTGGAGAGATCCTGGAAAAAGCTCTTGAGGGTAAAACAGCAGGAATAAAGGTAAATGGAGTTCCATTAGTTATGCGGACGACACTGTGATCTTAGCCGAAAATATTGAAGATCTTCAAAGATTGGTGACCAGAGAAAAGCGGAGTATGAAAAAAAGTACGGTCTAACAATGAACGTTTATGAAAATATGAAAAACTCAAAGGAATAACGAGAATCTTCTAATAAATAGCACCAACGTCGAACAAATGGACAAATATGCATATCTGGGAACAATGATTAACTCTACAAATGATAACATCGTTCTTCTTCTTAACGTGCCCTATCAAGTCATCTTGACGTTGGCGATTAACATGGCGAAACTGTCTCTGTCTCGAGCTATTCTAAAGAGTTGCTCAGCTTTCTTTATTCCTGTCCACTCTCTGATATTCTTCAACCAAGAGGCCTGCTTTCTACCAATTTCTCTGCGTCCTTCGATTTTACCCATCATAATAAGTTGAAGAATATTATATCGATCTCCCCTTACTACGTGTCCAAAATAGGCCATCTTTCTACATTTGATGTTATCAAGCAGCTCGCGAGCAGCATTTGCTCTCTCAAGGACTGCCACATTTGTCAGCATAGCCGTCCATGGAATTTTTAGTATACGTCTGTGCAGCCACATTTCACAGGCCTCCAGACGATTAATGGTGGATACTTTTTATTGTCCATGCTTCGACACTGTATAAGAGGACTGACCAAATGAAGCATTTGACCGTACGCTTTCGAAGTTGAAGTTGCAAGTTATCATTATAGAAGAATGACCTCATTTTTAAAAATGTCGTGCGAGCTATCTCGATTCTACGTTTTATCTCTTGATCTGGTTCTAGTTGTTTATTAATATGGCAACCAAGATATTTAAAACTGGACACTCTTTAAATTTTATGACCATCAACATATAATCGTGCATCTTGATGTGCTAAACGGCTAAACACCATGTGTTTTGTTTTTGAACAGTTTATGTTTAGGCCAAACTCTCTTCCCACTGTATCAATGGCATTTAAAAGGCATTGTAATTTATTCATGTCATCACTTAAAATAACTGTATTGTCTGCATATCTGATTGTATTTATCAGAATTCCATTAACTCTCACGCCTCATTCCAAATTATGCAGCACTTCTTTAAATATTGCAATAGAAATGGTTAGAGCAAATTTCAACAAAATGGAAGAGTGCTTTGTACAAGGGATTTAAAATTGGAACTAAGAGTAAGGATGACGAGGTGCTATGTTTTTTCGACGTTGTTTTATGGAATGGAATCTTGGACCTTGAATGCGACATCAAGAAAAAACTGGGATCATTCAAACATTCAAGCGTATAGAAGAATTCTGACAATATCGTGGACAAAACACGTCACAAACAAAGATGTTTTAGAGAAGGATGTATAAAGCAATAGAAATTTTAAATACAATTAAAACAAGAAAATTGGAATATCTCGGACATATTACACGTGGAGAGAAATACACCTTGCTACAACTGATTATGCAGGGAAACATCCAAGGAAAGAAGAACATAGGAAGGCGTAGAATATCATGGCTGCGCAACCTGAGAGAGTAGTATGGATGTACATCAAATGAACTTTTCAGAGCTGTCGTCCCAAAGTCCGAATAGCTATGATGATTGCCAAACTCCGCCGCGCAGATGGCACTTGAAGAAGAAGAATACCCACAACATGCATTGCTTCACTATCTTCGGCTAGTCTAACAGGAACAAAATATTTCTTATAGAGGACAGGAAAACATTTAATATGTTTAGGAAATTTTATAAGAAATTCAGAGGATAAGAATGTGTCCATTTGATCGTTAAAAGGCAGAATAATATTTAGAAACAAAGTAAAAAATACTTACCCAGGCTTTCGTTTTGAATTTTTACTACTTATAAGTACTTTTAATGCAATATTGTTATTATCAACCAAAGTAACATCAGCTGCTGAGTTTCCCAAATTGCAAATAAACTCAACCAAATCAGAGTTTGCTCCGTTAACTTTGTTAAACCTTACTACTGCCAATATATTTTTATCGTTTCCTTGGGCACTCACTTCAATTTCTGATCTACTGTTTAGTGTCTGTCTTAATTTTTGTAAACTTTTATAAATATTTAAATGACTTCTATCGTCTTTAAGTTGATCGGCAACATTGCAATTATCTTTGTTGCGACTAACAGGCAACCAAGTAGATGTGCCGTTAGTGAATCCGGCGAATTCGCTGTTGTCCCATTGGAAAGGAGTTCTTTCAAAATCTCGACTTACAGAAGGATAAAGTGTACAATTACTGGTTAGATCATCGCCTTGTTCGCAAGTCACTTCTCCATCCTCCATACCGATTTCTTCACCATTGTACGTTACTTGTATGCCGGGTAAAACTGCTGTTAGCATATTTAAGGCATCAACTTTTTCTTTGCCTACTCTTGAAGCGATTCGATGATTATCGTGGTTACCTAGCTGAAAAAAAAACACAAATCTGTTAATTATAAAATACTACTATGAAGCGTTTTATGTTTTTCATATATGTTTTTTTCTTTTTAAAAGTCTGCTCTTAATTCACAATGTGTTTTAAATTATGAATGAGCTACAAGTACTAGATCGTAATGTAAATAAATAACAATCTTTTAAGGAGAAGATACAGACGTTCTTGCCTTCTGATACATAATATGTGTCCCTCGTCATTATAATCATCATCATCATGACTTGCTGACTTGGCAACCCTACGTGGGTCGTAGCCTCCTCAAGAATTTCTCTCCCGTCATCCATATGCATCGCCTTTCTCCGCCAAGAAAGTATTCCAATATTTCTCATGTCTTCATCGATGTTATCAAGGAATTTTGTTTTAGGTCTGCCTCTTTTTCTCTGACCAATAAGTCTATTAAGGAGCGTTTTTCTAGCTGGATTATTTTGTTCCATCCGCATTACATGCCCTTGTCATTGGCACACTCCATTGTCATTCACTGCTGTTTTTTTTTGAACCTATTCTCTATCCTTCCATTGTTGGATATAGGTCTCCCCCAGTTCTCTTAATCTTTCCCTATCTTGAGCTGTTCTCTGCCATGTGGGACCCCCTTGTTTCCTGATGTCATCTTTCCACCTCATCTGTGGTCTGCCTCTTGATCTCTTTGCATTGTGTGGACGCCACTTTTCGATGGAATTGCCATTGTCCGTCTTGGAGACGTTCATTGTGTCCAGCCCATTTCCTTTTCAGTTTTGCTGCTTGTTCTATCGCATCTACTGTCTTTGTTCTATTTCTGATCCACTGGTTACGTTTTCTATCTTTAAGTGATACACCCAACATTTGTCTCTCCATCGCTCTTTGTGCCTTCCTTATCCTATCTAAATTGGCCTGTGTAAATGTCCATGTCTGTGCTCCGTAGGTGAGCACTGGTATTATACAGGAGTTATATACCTTGCTTCGTAAGTATAGAGGAATCGTTTGGTTTTTTAGAACGTAAGAAAATTTGCCGAACGCTGCCCATCCCATTCTTACTCGTCTCGATATTTCGGCTGTTTGATTTTCTCTGTTAGCTTTGATTGCTTGTCCTAGATAGATATACTCATTTACCTGTTCTATTTTTTCTGTTTGTATTTTTATTGCCTCTTGATCTTCCGTGTTTGTCGTTACTTTTGTTTTGTTGAAGTTAATTTTTAGGCCTTTTTGCAGTGATTTTTCATGAAGTTCATTCAGCATTAATTCCAGTTCTTGTCGTTCCGAGGAGATCCGGAGTATATCATCCGCATATCTAAGGTGATTTAGGTATTTTCCGTTAGTACATATTCCTCTTTTTTCCCAATCTGTTGGTAGTTATCAAGTTTATAGGTTAGTCGGTTGTTTATTATTCTTGTGAAGGTTTTATATAGTTGTGACAAAAGGGAAATAGGACGGTAGTTGTTTAGGTCTGTTCGGTCTATTTTCTTATGTATTAAGAGTGTGTTGGCATTTCTCCATTGTTCAGGTATTTTACCTTCAAACAGACATTTGTTGAGCAGTATTTTTAGCATTTTTTTTATCGTGTCTCCTCCTTCTTTTAGCAGTTCCGCCAGTATTTTGTCCTCACCGGCCGCTTTATTTCTTTTCATGTCGTTTATGAATTTTTCGATTTCATCTTCAGTTATTTCTGGTAATACCTCAGAGCCAACATTTTGTATTTTCCTCGAGAGATTCTGTTTAGATGATAGTGGTGGGTTATTTTTAGAACTGTAGAGATCTGTGTAATATCTTTCTGTGATTTTTACTATTTCTCCTAGATCTCTTTCTTCATTGTTCTCAGCTTTAAGCATGATTAGTTTTCTTTTTACTATATTTGTCTTCATTGGTTTTTAAACTTGTTCTTTTCTATGATTTTCTTAATGCGATCTTTTTAGTATTTCTTTAAATATTCCTTTATCTGTTTTCTTATGGTTTTGTAAAGTTCGGTAAACTCCACTGTATTTCTTTTGTTATCATTCAGGAGTTGTCGTCGTTTTTTAGCATATCTTGCGATTTAGCGCTAATTTTTTGTTGTTTTCGCTTTTTCCTAAAATCCTAAAATTTTTTCATTGTTTTTTGGTAGAGTCCAGGTCTCTGAACCATATGTTAAGACTAGGCGTATTATTGTTTTGTAAAGTTATTTTTGTATTTCTCTATATAATTGTGGATTTACTGAGGATTTATTTATTTATCGTATGGCACTTGACACATTTACATTTAAATTTACATATATTTTGTATAAAACATTATATATGTTTACAAACAAACATCTAACTTATTTATATATTCTATCGACTTTGGAGTCGCCATTAGGAAATCCTCTGACCTGCCTTGATAGGATCTTGTGGAACACTGTTCTGTAATGTGACATATGGTTTGGGGTTGTCCGCAGTTACAGAGTGGGGATGGTTGTTTACCACATTTGTGAATCATGTAACTGCATCTGTCGTGTTGGGTTCTGATTTTGTTCAGCATAGTCCATATGTTGCGTGGTAAGTCAAAACCTGGTGGTTTTTGTGCGATGCAGGGTAAGCTGCTATTTTGTTGTTCCATCCATCCTTGAGTCCAAGTGATCGTTAAGTTGAACTCATTTTCCACAGCAATCTGTGCTGTTTTTATTTACGGTCGTCTGGAGCGTAAACTGTTATCTATATGTTTTTGTACTCACTAGTGAGGGAGTGTATGGCCGTAGTTTGGGTGGTGGAATGTGGCTCAGTACTGAGAGCCAGTGCTAAGGGGTGGATTTGGTAACACCAGCAATCATTCTCATTGTATTGTTCAATTGTGCATCTACTTTGTGTATATGTGGGCTGTTAATCCAGGCTGCAGAGCAGTATTCCGCGATTGAAAAGACAAGGCCCAGGGCAGATGATCACAAGGTGTCAGCCGATGCTCTACATGTTGTGCCGCACAGCTTCTGGATGGTGTTGTTTTGTTTGTTCGCTATTTCTGGTGTTGTTTTGTTTGTTCGCTGTTTTTGACAGTTGTTCCTTAAAAAATAGGGTTCTATCAAGAGTCACCTTAACGTATTTTGGTGTTTTATTGTAGGCGTGTGTAGTGTTTTCAAATTTGATGTGCAGTGTTTTTCCTGCAAGCTTGTTATTTAGATGAAAACTGGAAACCTTTGTTTTGGTAGCGTTTGGTTGAAGCCCCCATTTATGAAAATAATTTCTCACTGTGTGTAAGTCTGCTATAAGGATTTCTTCTGTTTGTTCAAATGACTTACACCTTGTTGCAAGAACCCAGTCACCGGCGTATCAAACTTCCTTGATCTGGTTTCTGGTATATCAGCGATTTACGGACTAAAGAGAAAAGGAGCTAGGACATATCTTTACGGCAGTCAATCAATCCTTCAGTTTTCTTGAGGTGCTGATGTCGGTTCCTATGACTACTTGAATCGTTCGGTTGGCTAGCATGCTGTTGCTTATTCGAGCGGTGGATTTACAGGAGATTGTATAGAGGAGCTTGTATATCATGCCTTCTCTCCAGACTGTATCGTAGGCTGCTGTTATGTCTATGAATGCAGCTGCAGTTTTAAGTTTTCTCCGGATCCCTGCCTCAACAAATGTGGTAAGTGAAAGAACCTGATCTGCGCAGATTCTTTTCGGTTGGAAACCTGCCTGATCAACCGGTATCTATTCAAGTAGCTTTCGACTAATTCTGTTATAGATCGTTTTGTAAGTCGTTCTAGTAGCTTGAACGTTACCGATAGAAGGGTTATTGGTCTGTTGTTCTTGGGTTGTTATCATCTGGTTTCTCTGGTTTTAATATGGCAATGATCTTCAAGCGTTTGAGTTTCTGTGGTATAGTATCGGTCTTTATAATATCCGTTAAAAAGTGGACCATCCATTCTCTCGTATATTTGCCGCTGTTATTTGAGAATTCGGGATGAAAAAGAAGCTCAATGGGGCGGCAATATCATTAAAATAATCCCATTATCTTTACACAGATCCAGCACACGAACATCGTAAAATTCTCATGGTTGTCAAAAATTAATAGAACTGAGAATTCTTTACTGCATCGCACGTGTTTGATAAAGTACTCTATAGACTTAAAAAAAGTAACTCCCGTGATCCAACTAGAGGGAAATGCTGCACTAACTGATCCTAGAGGAGCATCAGTAAGCATGAAAGGCTTAAATATTTTCCTTGGGAATACATAAGGCACAAAAGTCCCATTAGCGCATATTGAAGTGCACATTGTTATTAATGTGCCTCTTTCAGCGCTTTTCACTTTTCCAATTTGTTTTTGTTTAATGCTAGCAGTCCCGGGTTTATGCAAATTGGTGACACCAGTCTCATCATAATTGTATATCTGGTTCTACTGGATATTATGTTTCATTATTACACTTCTCAAGTTTGTAAAAACTGTAGCCACATTATGCTTGTTAAAGCTTGTGGCATCGCCAAGGCTAGTTGCTTCTGGTTTTCGAAGCGATAACATAGGGTGTCGTTTCCTAAAATTATTCAACCATTCTACTCCAGCACGTTTTTTTCTCGTACCAGGCACCGTTTTTTTGTTAGTAATGGTATACCTATAATAAGCCAATTTACGAGTATGTATTAATTTCACAAGCCTGAATTATGTACTCGCACAATAGCTGTTCCTCTCTACTTGTAAATACTGTTTTGAAACATGCGTTCGTCCATATTCAAAATCATTTGTGTTGTCTTCATTAGCTAACTTGAACTTCTTACCTACCCTATATATTAAAAGTTAAGATAGCCATGAGATAAATTTAAAATGTAATAAGCACTATTTTTACATTTTACTTATGTTTTTTTCCTATCCTCTAATTATACTCATTTTTATGATGATGTATACTTACCACCCAGTTTAAGGTATATATTTTTGGAAGTCGAATTAACCATTCGTTTATTATACTCGCTATTTCTGCTCCATTAGATGTGGTATTCAGTGGGAGAAAGAAGAAATTAAAGGGGAAGTGGGCTCCTAATACAGATCCGTTAGCATTACCATAATACGGCAAAGTAACTGTGAAATTTGCCCCATCTTCAGCCATACATATTCTAAAAATAAATTATTAAATGGAAACATATTGTTTTATGTAAATTTTATCAATGCATGTATTATCCCATTAAAATATATCTTCGTTAATCCTAGGATATGACGACATGTTTCCTCTTTTTGAGAAATCATCAGCTAGAGTCATTATCATTCAACAAACGTATGTTGTCAGAAACTATTGGTCCTCCCACTTGGGTTAATAAAATAAGTAATGTTGTGCGTAATACGTTTGCAAGGATTACTGTATTTTCATAGAAACTCAGAAATGAGCCAAGAGAGAAGCCTGAGAATGATAGATTACATAAATTAGGACCTCTTATCGATAAGTTAAATAAAAGATTCCAATCTATCTCATTACAAGAGTATCTCTGTGTTGACAAACAGTTGGGTGTAACTAAATGTCGATACTACATAAAACAATATCTTCCTGCAAAACTTTAAAAATAGGGATACAACCTATTTGTACTTTGGAGAACATACGGTATAAGTAGACAGTATAAGTTTAAGATTTTCACAGGTAAAAAAATACTCCCAAATACATAAATTAAGAAGAATCAGATTTGAGGTCGTGTTAATGTGGTGGTTCGATTATTAACAATCGTACTCATCGTTACTTATCTGGACAAAATGGAATTTTTTCTTTAGGAACAATTCGAAGAGGGCAAAATCCGAACTGTAAACTACCTAATGATAAAGATTTAATGACGAACGATCAAGGCGTTTCTCAAGAATATGTGGTCGATGTTGATGGGGTAGAAATTTGGTCAGTAACGTGAAAAGCAAATAAAATATTGACAGGAAAATTTCCTTTATCGCAGGTGAATGGCTTCGACAGAAACGAAAAGAAGCTAGTTGAAAAGTAATGCTCTAATTAAAGAAATAGGATAATAGACAAATGAGGGGGTCGATTAACAGGATTTTCATTGTTTGATTAATATGCCCATAATAAATTCCTGGCTGTTATACAGGAAAGTCACAAAAAGTCGCGGAGAGACAGTTTATCTTTGGCAAAAATTAGAGTAGACATTACATATTGCTTATGTAATCAAAGCTCTTCAAACTCGAATAAAAAAAGACGATTAAGTAATATTTAAAAGAGTATTAAAGAAAAGAAGAATAAATATACGTCTACTTCTTTTGTAAGACTTAAAGATGGATTTGATCATAGGCCTGTTTATGGCATGGTTTAAACTTCTGTTTGATTAAGAACTGTTTCAGGAATTTTCATAAAGACTGAACTTTTTTGAATAATTATGTGATACACCAGATCTGACACACATGAACTTTTTTCTATATCAACGTTTCCATCTGACATATGTAGATTTTTTTTGTTATTTTTTGTTTGTTCGTTGTAGGGTTACTTACATAACAATAAAACAAAGAGAATTATTCACAGCTTGCGTACCTTGAACTTTCTTTTTTCTTTGAAATGGATTCCAAATGACTTCTCCATTCATAAACCACTTCGTAAGTCTCTGGTTGATTTTCTGTATAAATGTGAGTTAGATAATCGTATTGAAAGTCAGGTACACCAGGTATATTGGATTTAGGCTCATCAAGAAATGCAGCATCTTCTACTAGACTAGCGATTGCATCCATCCTGACACCATCCACGTTATGAGTATCTAACCAAAATGATAAAACGTCCTAAAAAATACGACACAATACACATCCTATATTACGCGCTGAAAAGTGAGAGATAAGAATACGTTTTTCTTAGCTCAATTAGGATAACTCAGGATAATAAAATTCATAATTTTATATGTTACATACGACTTTATTTTTTTTTAATAAGACGCTATATATTTAATAAATATATAATATAATAATATAATAATATAAATATATAATAAAGAAATAAATAGTACTTTTAGAAACTAATTCAACTGCTTAGCTATCTGTCTTCAATTATAAGTACTTTATGAAATCTTTGAGGATATCTTTTATATTATCCTAGGAGGAAAATGGCAAAAAATTAAAGACAAATGATGTAGTAAAGTCATCTTATTAAATCAAATATTCAAAACGACCACCGTTATCTATGTAACAGTAGCCAATTTGATGTTCGCACGCATCAGTGATATCCTGAATGATAGTAGTGCTGGTTAAAATGTCTTCATTAATGTGTTGTTATAACTCTCGTCTTAGCGATATTATGTAGTCTCTTCACGTAGACTTTGCTCTTCAAATAACCCCACAACTAATAGTACAATCTCCTTACATCTGGAGAACAAAATTCCCAAAATGACGAGGCGTACCATCTTGCTGAAACAAGATGTTATTGGACGATACATCCAGATCGTCTTCATTAGGGAACATTACTGCTGTTCAAGGACTATTCATTTTTTTTTTTTTTAATTATAATTGTTATATTATAAAAATCATGAATGTGTTGCTTGTGTGAGTCCATTTCAAATAGGTAAAGAAATAATAAATAAAACTTACTCACAATATTTTTAGATAATATATCAGAACTTGAATTAAATATCTAAAAATAAAAAAAAAATATTTATACACACCATGACAGATAACTGACACCAACAATATTTTCAAATAAAATTATGTAAATTTGTTATACCTTTGATTACTAAATGTACATGTTTAGTTGCCAAAGAATTACTGTAATTTGTTCTGTAATTTGGACTAAACTGAGTTAGTTATAATGTGGGATGTATTTCAATTATTCGTATTGTTACATTTAAATTTAATTAATTAAAGATTGTTAAAGTATGCCAATATTAAACATATCAATTTACTTTTGATATCTTAATTAAAACAATTTAGAGACATTCATTAATATCAGCATATATCATAAAACTAGATAACTTAACTTGCAGTATTGAGAAACAGAATGAGAACTCTGACATGCTAACCTACATCTGTCAAATTTACCACTAAACTCTAATAGATAACATAAAAACTCATTGTGCCCAAGAGTGAGATGTAGTGCATAAAAGTCCTTCCCCCTTTTTAAATTTAATGTTTGTTTCGTCCCTTCTAAGGGTTTTCTGTTTTAGTGTGTTTAAATTGTCCCTAATTGTTTTAACTTTAATATTTTATATACTCGACTTTGCAATAATCTACCATTTTTCCAATAGAACTTTATCAAAGAAATTTGATAATTACAAGTTGAAAGAATTGCACACCCATACAATTTATACATCTAAGCTTATTCATTGTCATAAAACTGTCACCTTCATAAAACAAATACTCAATAAATAACACACATTTCATAAACATATCTCTCGAATAAGTATAAATAACTTTTAAATAATACAATAGTATATAACATCACTTTCATTTAACAAACAATCACACACCTATCTCTACTTCATTGGATCAAATCTATCTCCTCAAGAACTTCCCGTTTACTGTCAAACAACTACAATAGCAGACTTAAGTTCTCCATTCAACAATACATGATAGTTTCAACTATGTTCTACCATCTATCAATTAATAGAGAACCGGCATATAAGTAATGTTTATTTATTTGCTCATTTATAAATTTATTACAATCTAATAGACTATTTTATAACAATTTGTGGGTCTTACCTTGTCTTTTTAAACTTTTTATACCTTTTTATTTATTTTTATTCATTTTGAAAAAAACCACAGACTGTAATATTGGCATAATTATTGTAATTTATAACATCTAATTTGTTTATCTTTATTAGACAACACCCTAATATGGGTTTTTATCATTTCAGCATTTATTTAACTTTGTATCGAGACCTGAAGATGCTTTGCATATTGTAGAAAGCGAAACCAGTCGTCTAAATAGTTAAATTAAATTGATTGTGAGTAAGTCTTATTTATTATTTCTTTACCTATTTATTATATATTATAATTATAGGGAATCTTATTAAAAAATCATACTTCTTTACAATCTACTACAATCAACTTTGTTAAATATATTAGAAAAAAATAGATGGATAATAAAAAAATTACAATTTAAAAATAAAAATTGACCTATTTTTGTGTTTTTTTTCTCAAACCCTTCCAGGAACAAAATTATCAAAAATATGCATTACTTTTCGGACCCACTATATAAGTTTGGAGTACAGTATATACAGAATAGATTGACAAAAAATATTGAAAATAATATAAATTATAAATAATATAATTATAAAGATTGAAAAAAATATAAATTATAAGAAAAACTTATAGGATAATAGCAATAAAATGTGTACTTGATTTGGAGGTACTATACTTAGTATTCAACTCTAGTCAGACTGACTTAAAAGAATAGTTTTTTATCATCAATTAGGGAGGTACATATATTTATATTTGTAGTAGAAATGATTCTGAAAGCATATTGCCAACATAAAATTAAAATCGACTTGTAACTTGAAGTAATTTTACAAATTTTAATTTTTTCAAATATTAATTTGCTAAATACTTGTAAAAAAATTGTTCAAATGATGAATTGTTAGAAAATGTGAGACCTTCAGGATCGGTTACGGACCGTATATTTTCAGCCCATCTTTGGGTCTAGCATAGAAGGTTACTTAACCAATAAAACGATAGAGAAGAAATTTTACAATTGTTATAGCTTGTTAAGTATAAGTTAGCCAATACTAAGTCTATAGTTAGAGTACCAGTCGCCAAAAAAGTTTATGGTATTATATACTCTCTCTAAACTTTTGGTATCGCTTTATTAGGTCGAGTCTGAAATAGTTTTTGACTGCGACTTTTTTTGGTTTTGAAACGTTTTTCCTAAAATTTCCCAAAACATTTTACCCGCTAGGCAGGAAAAACAAGTTCGGTTAGATAATATATATTTTTTCAATTAAATATCTAAAAAATTATAAGAAAAACACAAAAATAAAATTGTCTGATGATCAATTTAGATCACTTAACGGATCTGATGACTCGAACATGTTGGAAATCAACTATGACGAAATTCATAGATAACCTGCTAATTTTTTTAGGATAGTTTCATTAACAACAGCAAAGAGAACTTTTTATAAATCCCGAAAGTAGAAATGTGAATATTTCTATTGACGAAACCAAAATTGAGATCTTTGCTTTAATATGTGCCTTCTATAAACTGCAAGGCAAAACAGACGATGCTAAAGGTGTAATAGAGAGAATCTAAAAGTTGCATTCCACAACATATCTCCTCATGTAAGCAAAAATTCTGGGCGAATTGGTTTCTTGTACTTATGTTGTTCTTGTACTTATAAACAGTAAACCGAAAGCGGTTTTAGACTGTCTTCTTCCAGATAATTTCGAAAGAAAAATTTCGTAACCGTTCAGTTGGTCAAAGCATGAGAAAAGTGATCGTCACTAGTTGTTGTAGGCCCTTCCTGAACTAGACCTTCGAGTCAGAAAACTGCCACCATTCCAGTTGTACATTCGAGAGTCCTAGACCCATGTTTCCCTTTCGTAGTTTTGCCAAATATTTAAACCAAAAAATATTGTTTATATTATATATGTATGTTTGTAAATACGGACAAGAGAAAATAATACTTACTTTCATTTCCTTTCTGACCAATGGATTGCGATAATCCAAATCAGGTTGTTCTTTTAGAAACTTGTGGTAATAAAATTGTTGTCTTTTTTCGCTCCAAGTCCAAGCAGAATGTCCAAAAACGCCAAGCTGTAAATAATTATATAATATCTTAAGAAGGCACTACCAAAAGAGACATCGAAAACAGAACGCAGCAGGGAAAAAAAGCGGTTAACATTCTAATCTCTCTACTATGGTCTAAAGATATTAAACAAAAAACGAAATTGACAATCTATCGAAGCTTAATAGAGCCTATTATGACTTATAGGGCAGAAGTTTGGCAGATCACGAAAAAAGATAGAAGAAGAATAAAATAGTAGAAATAGATTTTCCAAAGAGAGCCTGTGGTGTATCCAAAAAAGATCATATCAGGAATGAAGATATTAGAAGGATAAACACTGTATATTCCAGTGTAGAGAGGATTAAAACGAGACAACTAGTGTATGATCACGTGAAGCGAATGAATGAAGATAGAAGCAGAAAGGATAACAAAAGCTTTTAATACCTTTCAAACTTCTTTGAGAGCTTTGACACAGAAATTCAAAATATCAAGTAAAAGAAGACAAATTCTGGAACAAGTACCAATGACACTAAACTTTGCAAATACACCTTATACAAGACAAATTTTGGGTCACACTACAACAAAATTATATAGTAGCTTTGACATAGATAGTTCACATAATACTACAACATACAACAAAGAAAAGTTCCCCCATAAAAAAGTGGCTTCTTGTTTCATGCAATGTTTTCAATAATTTGGGTGGACTTATGAAAACTAATAAGGTAAAGCCTATTGTTTGAAGTACAGAAAAAAAAAGAAGAAAGCGAATTAACTTTAAGTATGTATATGTATATCTAGCATTCTTTTGTTAAAATAAAAAAAAACTTACCCAATTATTTGGAGGTTCCGTTTTTGATCCATTTTTTCCATCTTTCCAAATATAGTATTCATCATAAGGCTTTTCTCCATTTTCAGATTTTTTAAACCATTCGTGCTGCTCACTCGTATGATTAGGAACGTAGTCCAGAATCACTTTTATTCCTCGCTGATGTGCTTCTTTCAAGAGTTCTAAAAATATTTCCAGGGTTCCAAACTGTGGGTCAATATCTCTATAGTCACTAATATCGTATCCGTTATCAGCCTGTGGAGATTTAAAAATAGGAGACAACCAAACACCAGTGACTCCTAGATCTTTAATATAATCCAACTTTTCGATCACACCTTGTAGATCACCTATCCCGTTACCATCAGAATCTTTAAACGATTTTGGATATATTTGATAAAATGTAGCTGTCTTCCACCAATCATCGTCGGTCGATAACTGAGATGCCTTATTAGAATCTAAACAGTAAATCGAAAAGTAGAAGAAAATTGTTAATTTCCACATCTTCCCAATTTTATACGCGTTCTAAAAAACTAAATCGTAATACAGCTATAATTACCTTGTTAAAATGATACTACGAGCATACATACCTACAACACTTTTTACTGTGACAGTAAAATTGACAAATAATTATTTCAAGTTGAGATTATATAAATCATTGATTTTATGCATTATGATAAAGATTAGTCCTTTATACAGGGTGAATTAACGATGCGCTAAAGTAGAGGTAAAATTTTGTGAATTTAATTTTTAAATCATATGATGTAGAAAGTTAATTAAACACATATTTTAAATGTATTCTTGTGTATGGTGAGTATCTAAACTGTCTTCGTCAATATATTTTATGAACCCGAAAGAATTTATATTATTAATTTACTGGTATATAGCAGTAACATAAATTAAAAAAATGCGAACTGGTACCATTTTGGAAAGTTATTTTTAAATAGGATAGGATCAAGGACACTAAACACAGATGTAGTCAACGTTCTTGGGATAGGGTACCAGGTAGTACCTCATTTCAACTCGATAAAATTTAAATTATTTATATTTTAAATTAATTCTAATTTAGATTATTAAATTTTTGAATATATCATCTAAGTAAAGTGTTTTCTGGCATATCAGTGACATAATTTTTAATATGCAAGAAATATTTTTTCGTCTTTTATGAGGGGGAGTGGTCCAAATGTTCGAAACATACTACGGTTCTTGAAGGTGGGCAGAGCACTTCTAGCCTCGATTATGCAGGATTTCTCTAGCGTGGCTACGATGATATTCGAGATCGCGCGCAGGTGTTGTTCGGACACGACTGCCATCAATGTCAGAGACCTACCTGCTAAAAAACACTCTCCTCAGCGGTGAATTACCGACCAGATCACCCCAATTGAGACGTTACATCAGCACGGTATTCATCTGATCTCTCACTTTCCCACTACGACTGAATTCTTCTCCCCTCTGTTCCTCAATATTTATGTTCAATATCGCCTCTTCTTATTCTGCCATAACTTCTTGCTTGCTCCTGGGTACCCATCCTACCTTCGGGTCGCCTTTCTTCTTGTTCCTCTCTCTCCAACGGTCTCTTCACATATCTCTGAACTGCTCTCCCCGATCTGATGATCTATACATCTCCTCAACCAGTTCCGTGACTGATTGCACCCTACTTCCCAGCTTTCTCTTAGCAAGCTCCTCTCATCTACCTCTCATCTTCCCATCTATCGCATACCAATAAAGTGTGTGACACAATGTCCAATATTTCATAGTATACGCATTTGTCATTTTCTAACTTTCCAAATCTGTAAAGATATGCTCTAAAGCAATAATGTTCTGTGAGCATTTTCGTTAGGAAGTAATCTCATCTCATCTCATCTCATCTCATTCCTCTTGCCACACCATTATGGACATTTCCTTTCTTCTTTTTTTAAACATTCTGTTGTAATGTTTTCAGTTCTTTTCTCTTATATGCTTTCTCTTTTCGTATGCACATGCCACACTCAATAGAATCTTCCCATCAGCTTGGGTGAACTGCTTTGTTTAAACTGCAGTTCTTCTGACAGGTGCAGCATAGAAGATGATCGATTGCACAACAGAAAGAAGGGCTCTCTGATGTTGGACATGAGCCCTCAATGACCGGATAGCATAGTCTGAGTAAGGCTGAAGAATGTTGTTTATCTTTTGTAAAATAGTAAAGTTCTCTTGAATAATATAAAAACTAATAAAAATGTCTATCAAAACGGGAATCTGGAAACCTGAAATCTGAAACCACATATCAGTATCTCATTTATTAAGACAGTGCAGTCGTTTTTCAATCTGTATGGCTTCTCGGATAATTCTTGATTTATAGAGGCAGATAGGAGCTATTGTTCTGGAGTTTTCAAAATCAATTTTGTGACATGTATGACGACGGTGTTAATCTAGAGCTGAAACTGAATCACAATTGGGAACAGAAACGGAATGCTCATAAGTCCTATTCTTAATTCTACGGTTGGATTGGCCCATGTAAGATCAAAGGCAGTCTGTACAAGAAATTTAATGAACTCCATGTTGTTCCCTTGGAATGTTGTCTTTCGTTGATCTCACAAGAGATGAAAGATTTTGTTGAACTAGAAATATTGTCTTTATTTTATTTACATTTGAGAATTTTGCTGATTTGGTTATTGGTAACTTTGATGTAAGAAAGAAAACTTTCATATGATGAGGCTCTGAGTCTCTGGATTGAGATTGAGGAGACCGACAATTGTGGATGCTATTTACGTGATTTTTGCGGTAATCATTTTGAATAAGGGCGACTTTTATACGAAGCAACAAAAAGTCAAGAGACTTCCCTGCGATATCGAATTAGGTGAACCACAAATCTAAGCTTACTGGAAACTACTGGAAGATGTTAGGAATAACCTATTATTCTGCCAATACATCTACAGTTTACCGTTAAAAATCACTTTTTTGCAATCTTAGTGTCAAGAAAACACGTTAAAATGAAAGAAGATAATTGTATTTCTTTTCAGTTGGAACTCTGCCATTGTTTTACATGTGTTTTAAGTAAGGGAACTTTATTTGGATGTTAAGGTTACATAGCATAGAGTTCGCTGCTATCGTTCTCAGGCTTGTTATGTTACTAACTAGTGCGGCCGAATATATTGCATTAATTTAATTTTGACCTAAAACAAGCGCTCCTAATGAGAGTTGAATATCCCAAAACACGTGTAAAATAATAGTTGAACTAGAGGTTGGTAATTCGCCTTGCTGTTCTGTCATATTTTGACCTTAAGGTCACTGTCTTTTCACATTGATGGCTTGGGTTGCTATTGTGGCTTCCATTTTACCGGCAGCAGCTGAGAACTTAAGAGTAGTAACCTCATTATACTTTTAAATATTACTATATTTCAATCTTAATCATTTTAATAATGTTACATAAAGGTAAATTTAAATTTAAGTAATAATATACTGTTGGAAGTGCATCTTATGATTTTGTTAGTTCTCTGCAAATTAATGTTTTTTACTTAAGCTATTTTACATAATTTTTATATACATGTAAAATTACCACATGGTCTTTTGCTGTGCTAAGTTTGAGTTAATTTGTAAACTATTTGGTTTCAATTAATTGTTTATACAACATACTCATTTAATGTTCAATGTCGTAAGTTTCTTTACATATTTAATATCATTGACTGTTAGTCTTTTTGAGGTAACACATTTGTAATAACTTTTCTATCGATGTTTGGTTTTTCATATTGTTCTTTTTAGATGAACTGATAATGCTTTCTGATTAGAAAGCGAAACGTCTTCATTAAATAGATGAAGTAGCCATCTTCATATACATATATATATATATATATATATATATATATATATATATAATATATATATATATATATATATATATATATATATATGCGTGTGTGTATAAATATGGGTTAGAAAATCTTATTTTTACTTTATTTTTGCGTGCAAAGTTTGTTTCGTTTTCTAGTAGAATTACTCTGTATAGTGAATGATATGAACGACTTAAATTGAATATTCATAAGGTGTTATGTCTTCCAAATATTAACTCAAAACATTTACCTATCAATTAGACATAACAAATATTTAAAAATCATATTATGTAATTATAAGAAATCTATAAATATAGAGAATGTACCAGCAGAGATAAACACCAATAAAGAAGTTAGACAAAGTAATAAAAGAAGCAATTAAATAAATACAGACCTTCTCATTGATATTTTTTATGGAACTGTTTATGGCGTCTGATTTAGTATGGTGCTGTTTTATTCAAATATTTTGTTGATAAAGCTTTTCGTATTTGTTAAATTTCGAATTCCATATCGACAGCTTTCAAAATACATTTTTTTGATTAAACAGACTATCTTACTAGTTTTACAACATAACTTATTTGTTTCGAAACCAATTGATAATTATTTATATCTGTCATTAATCATTTTGGAGTATAAAATTTTTGTGTCACTACAATTTAGCGTTATTAAAATTCATAGTATTTATCGCAATATACTTGCATCCGAATATAATCGCACAGTACAGAAGAATAGTGTCTATCGAGGCATATGTATGAAATTAAATATATTATGAACAAATAAAAACTCCCACAACTAACAGTCGTCAGAGACTGGGAAAACGCCACTGAACCTTAAAAAATCATCATCAATAACAAGCTGAATTTTGCTGAGAAAGGGCAATTATATATACAATATATATGTATATATAAAGGAGCACCCATGTGTTAAGCCATATTCCCATCTTTGGCAGAAATTGTAATTAACTCCCTACTTCACTACTACACTCGAGAAGTTGATTTCCAGTTCCCCTTCATCTACCAATATGTAGACGACCTCATATGAGCAGTTCTGGCTGACAAAATCAACTACACTCTTAACATGTTTAACTTACCTACAATTTACTGTCTAAACAGAGGAAAATAATATGATGGCATTACTCGACACTAATGTAACCAGACATGAGGATAATACAATAAGGTTTGACTGGTACAGAAAGAAAACACTCTCATGTACCTTTTCACTCTTTTCATTCAATTGAACAGAAGAATAACATCATCAGAAGTCTGAAAAATATAATTAAAATAATTTGTCCCCTTCTAACTACAATAAGAACATGAAGTTACTTTATAAAATTCTTAGAAAAAATCACTATCCTAAGATGCTGCTGAACAAATTGCTCTTCCAAGATATGCCAACGGTAAGAACATACCAAAGACAAGCATTAGAAGGAGAATCAGTAGAACTTTTCTATTAGAGATTGCCTTACATCAGGGGTTTATTACCACAGATCACAAACTTTTCAGACAGTTTAACATAGTGATAGCAAATTCAGTGTACAAAAGATTGGGGACATACCTCAATCACCTGACAGAAAAAGTTAAAAAACTTCAATGTAGTATATTCTATTCCATATGGTTCCTGTTCGGGAGTGTATGTTGGTCAAACCAGCTAGAAACTATAAAAAAGAATAGCTTTGCATAAGAGTGATGTTGTGAGGAAGCCTAGCCTACATATAGAAGAATACAGGACATATTGCCAACTATGACAATGTGGAAGTACTAAAAAAAGTTTAACAACCAATTGGATGTCGTTCTGCATAAAGGA